ATTGATTCCAGAAGTTTTTCTTTTGCTAAGATCAGCGGGCAGAAGAAGAATAATGAGCAGCTTTTAAGCAGAGGGGGGAGGGTGTTGAGCTTGGGGAGTGGAGATTTTAAAAGCTCCAGCTTGGCTGCTCTGCCAGAAATGTAGAGCAATTTTACGGTCAATTGGCCAGAGCATCTGGAACTATACATCATAGTCTTTAGTTGATGGTGGTAAAGCCGACTCTCAAACTGTCTAAGCCTAAAATCAGTAATGACTCTGCTGTCACACCTAAGTGGAAACTAACTTAATCTACTGCCAGATTTTACTGTGACTTTTTCTAAGGGACATTATTCCCCTTAGGGCAGTTGTCAAGAATATTAAAAGTCCAGTCTCGGGGATACACTGCATGGCATATCAGATTTTTTCTGAATGAAGCTAACATAGAAAATACAGATTACAAGTTTTGTTTGTTTAATTCCATGCATGCTGACAAGGCGTTTTATCATAAGGCAGTAGCGTTTCCTTCTACCCCCAGCTTCATTTCTAAAAATACATTTAAAATACACCAGCAGATCTAGTTAAGGCACAGAGACTGCATAAATGCTGAGGTCATAAATCACAGCGCAGGGCATGGAGCTTTCACCTTAATGGAAACCAAATATGCGATATGTTGCTCCTTGAAAAGTGGCACAGATGATCATAACAAGGACCAAGGAAAAATGTTCCAGAGCAGAAAACTATCAACTATGTGGAAATAAGTTCTTATGAGTAAATGTTTGTTTTACGTCAGAACTCATAAGTCAGTATTCTAATGCTGGTAAATTACACTAAGAAACAAGTGAGGTAACAGCAAGCCGTTGTATGATGAAAGCAGAAATAAGTAGTGCAGTAATATATCACATTAAGAGGGCCTGCTGTGGGACACAGAATACAGTGCAAATCAGTTCTTTAATAAAGGGATATTATATATTTTATCCAGACAAATTAGCTGACACACTCATAAGAAATACTAGAATTGCATAAAAGATCAGAGAAGCAGCCCATTTGGCACAGAGTACTGTCACCAAAAGTGTTCAGAACAGCTCCATTTACCAAGTTTAGATACTCTGGAGGAGTAAACAAACAATTTGACCACAACCAAGTTCATTTCTGCATTCATTAGTTATGGGCTGAATTATACCCTGCAGCACAAGATTCTGTATTTCTTCCAAACCTGGTTACATTTCTAATGCACTGTATGCCCGCCTAAAACAGAAAATAAGTTATGAATTTAAAATATCACACATGTATACAACCTTTTTCCCTCTTTTCCCCAATGAAATTTTTCCTAGATTTTTTTCCTTCAGACCTGTAAATTAATACATGACTGCCAGAGCACATCATGAAGGCACCCCATGAAGTTGCAGTGCAAGAGGAGTGTGGGTGAGATTTACTAGCAGATACACCGCCTTAGCAGAAACAAAGATAAACAAGCCCATCAAGACAGACATCTGCATTACCTCCTCCAGCTTCCTCACTTCTAGCCCCTTAGCTTGAAAGTCTTTCTCAGTACTGAGTTGCAGCCACTACGAGAGAAGTTGGTGAAAATACTTAAAACCAGTTCCATGTCTCTCATTTCTACTTGCTCCTCATTAGTACTGCTGTCAAATAGCAGCCAGTGCTTGACCAAAATCAGCTCATGGAATATGTTGGCCGATGCCAAACCATAGCATTTGGATGGAAACACTTTGAAGAGGTGCACCATCATCACAGATTTATTTTTGCATATCATGCTTGCTGAACTGTCACATAACTGAACACACAAGCAATGTTTTCTGCTTCCTCCAGGTGGTTAGGAGACTCCAGGCGGTTGGGAGACTCCAGGCCCAGTCTGACAGAAAATGATTTGGCTTTAGTAATAAACATGATCATCACATTACACAGGCATGAAGTAATCAGCATAAAGAAAACTAACTAGGATGAGGTAGCAGAGATCCTCAAGCAGAAACACATAAGTATCTCAGTTTCCTGTCTATCTATAACCAGTCAAATGTATCTCTACCCCCTATCATAAAGGTTTTTAGTGACCTCCACTCAAGAAACAATTTTTTAAGATCTAAAAATTTCCTACATCATCACTTTTTTTTCTTAAAAAAAAAACCCAACCAAACAAAAAATAAACCAAAAAACAACCCTGCTACTTTCACCTAACCATCCATATGAAATACCACACAAGGAACAGAAAATGAGAAGCATGCATTGCTCCACCTCCGATGAGAATTAAAGAGGTCACTTTTCTAATCCCGAAAATATCAAATTATTGTCTTGTTTGAAGAAGGAAAGGACACCAGGAGAGACCCCCAGAAGTAAATCTTGGAATGACTTAAAATATAATAGCAGGGAGAACAATATAGAATCAGAAAAAAAAAAACAAACACAAATTTCCTATGTAACCAAGGCAGGTAAACACAAATTCCCTATGTAACCAAGGCAGGTAAACACAAATTCAAAGTTATCAATAGATCCAATACTGTATTTACTAGACCTGACACAGCGAACCATATTGCACCTTCAGCAAAAACAGAAGTCCATTCTCACACACCTCTAGCTTCACTTTTCTTCCACCTTGCCTGAGCCTCAATTAGCAACGTTTCTTGCTCCACAGCAAGTTGCATCACTTCACTAAAGAAAAAATTCTCAGCTGCCTAAGCCAGACCTGCTGGCTAACACAATTAGCTGGGCAGTGAGTGTAAGAAAGGGGCAAGTTACTCCTGTTTCTTGTCAAAAATGGACTACCTAGTCAGTTTCAAATAAGGGACTAAAAAAAATAGAGAAGTATAATATAAAGGACTGACAGGTTGGACAGGGCCCTGAGGAACTTGGTCTAGTGGAAGGTGTCCCTGCCCATGGCCGGGCAGTTGGAGCTAGATGATCTTAAGGTCCTTTCTAACCCTAACCATGCTATGATTCTGTGATGAAAGGAAAAACATTAGACAAAAAAAAAAGGATAGAAAAGTACAGTAGGGAAGAACTCAAGATTGCAATAAAGTTAAAATTTTAATGTCAGATACATGTAAAGAACAGAACAAGAACCTTTTCATGTTGCTTTACTCTTGAAAGAATAGGAAGCTGTATAGTTCCCTACAAACAACAGAAACAACAATCTGATAATTTTAGTAATTTCTTAGTAAGAGACACTTTCACATATGCACACACACACATCATCAAGGTCAGTACATTAATTCTTTTTTTTTTTAATTCAGCATGTATATTTTGACATGTTATTCTCCCCAAAACCAGTTAGAATAGCCAAATAATTTAAGTCTGAGAGCTCTCTCTCAAGGGCTACAGAATTAATTGCCAAATTTTAGAATTCTTTGCTTCAAGCCTAATGACTGTAGTAGGCTACTCAGTAAATAATAAAAACATTTTCCAAGTGATATTTAAGCAAGCAAAATGCTTAAAATGTCTGCTGAGTTCTGGCATACTCTTATCAAAGGAATTCAAGAACTGTTTGATTTATATACCAGAACTTTGACAATGTAATAATATGGTGAAAAAAAAAAGCAATCCAATCCTTAATTAATGGTATTTATCTAGCTTTAAATATTGTCTGGTAGTTGTTTCTTATCCAAAGTAAAATGACAAAAAACAAAACAAAAAAAAAATAAACCCCAAACAAAAACCCACAGCAGCATATTTTTCCATTCTCCTATTGCCCGAACTCTTAGAAAAGCAGGAGAATCAGCCCTACTACTAGAAACCTCAAATTAGAAAAGTTGCTGTGAATTTTGCAGATGTTTCAAGTCAAAGAAACCATTTTGAACTTGGTTTGAATCTCAGTCCCTACTGGTTTATTTCATTCTTTTCTGGTTTTAAGCCAAAACGTAACTTTCTGACAACAGTTCTACTAGTCTAGTAACTCATTCACAACCCTGCTGATAACTGTCTTTGCTGGTAACCAGAACTGAGTAGCTTGGGATTGTTATTCAAACCAGAACCATATTAATCACTCAGTGTTATTTAATTCAGATAATATTAATAGAGTTATTATGAAATACCAACTGTAATGAAAAATAAGAAAAAGGTAGATGTGCTGGTTTTGTCTGGGGTGGAGTTAATTTTCTTTCTAGTAGTTCATGTGGGGCTATGTTTTTGATTTGTGCCAAAAACAGTGCTGATAACATGGGGATGTTTTAGTTACTGCTGAGCAGTGCTTATACAGAGTCAAGGCCTTTCCTGCTCCCCACACCTCCCCGCCAGTGAGCAGTCTGGAGGTGCAGGAGAAGGTGGGAGGGTACACAGCCAGGACAGCTGATCCCAGACCCCAAATGACCAAAGGAATGTCCAATACCATATGATGTCATGTTCAGCATATAAAGCTGGAGGAAGAAGGAAGGGTTTGGAGGGACGTTTGCAATGATGGTGTTTGTCTTCCCAAGTCACCATTACATGTAATGGAGCCCTGCTCTCCTGAAGATGGCTGAACACCTGCCTGACCATGGGACGTGGTGAATTAATTCCTTGTTTTGCTTTGCTTGTACACACAGCTTTTGCTTTACATGTTAAACTGACTTTATCTCGACCCATATTTTTTCACTTTTAGCCTTCCAGTTCTCTCCCCCATCCCATCATGAGTGGACTGAGTGAGTGGCTGTGTAGCGCTTAATTGCCAGCTGGGGTTAAATCACAACAGTAGGTTAAAAATCAAGTCACAAACAAGATAAAAATAAATCCTAAGAACACAAAAGCAATCATATTTAATCAGACCAAAGGTCTATTTAGTCCAGTATCCTATGGTTGTCAGTGGCCTCAGTTTGTACTGAGGTACAGTATAAGTACAGAACAAAATACTTGATATTTATGACTATCCAGCTTCCAAGCATTTATATTTTTATTTCATTCTTATTAATAGAATCATTAATCATTATAATTAAATATAATAATAATATGCAGAAGCAAAATATTAATGTTTCAGCTTTTCCTAAAAAGGTAAAAAGTCTAGAGTCATCAGCATAGACACTTCATAATAAATGTTTTACCTCATATGCATAGCCCAAGGAAGAAAACTGACTCCTGAAGTAGTCAAGTTTGTACGCACCCATGAAGACTAAACAGCGAAGGATTTCCAAAATTCCTGCTTTAGGACTAGAAATGGGAAGTTCTTCAGATTAACATCCAACCTTTTATTCTTTGATAACTTGAATGAAAAAGAGAATGTAGAAATAATCTGATGTCCTGCACTTATACTAAGTTGTCTTTCTTAACCTTATAGTTAAGTTTTTATAGTATACACCTTACATGGACTTGTAAAACTGAATTTGCTGCGAGTGAGAATACTCACACACACATATAGCTATTGTCTTTTGACAATACTGAACACTGCTACATAAATAGTCCAGAATCTTTTCAGAAGTGTATTTCTGTAAAGTTTTACTAATTCACATTCTTAGTTCCCTAAGCTATACACATCCTTATTATATTGATAGATTTTTACCTATCCTGAAAGAAACTGTTTAATTCATATAAGTGAAAGGTATTCCCTTCTGAAAACATAATGACCAGCACATGCAAAGAAGAACTGGTACCTCAATCTCAAAGGAAGCTTCTATTCCACACTTCTGCTTTGGCAGGGCAAATAGCTTCTTTGTAAGAAACTGTAGCTGATATTTACTCTTCTGTAGGGTCATACTGCCTGTATGGACTACATCCATACTGTACACCTCACTGGGCAGGTATATTCAAGATCCAATTTGATTTGAATCTCTACTGATTAAATTTAGTCTTAGCAGCATTCTTCACGTGATTTTGAGTCTACTCTGAGCTACACTGTGTGCTTTTTACATACCACCACTGTATCTGGCACCTACAGCATGTGACACAGAACTGACACAATATGGTTGCAGTGTGAGCTTGAGCAGCCCTGGGACAGCCTGCAGGTCTTACGGGTCTGCTAGTCCCGAAGCCAGAGATGTGAACCCAACAAATACAAGAACAGACGTGAGTAGCCCATCCCTAACTTTTCTGCAAGCGACAATAGATAAATTGGTAATTGGTATGGGGAAACTCCTAGGTTTAGGTGCTGGCTAGCTATATGCTGTTTTCTAGTCAATAGACAGCAACATATATGTTTGATTCTAGCTATATTTATCTTTGTATCTTACCTGTTCTCCATAGGTAGTCCCAAACAGGCCAGGGAAAGAATGATAAAGCCAATTCTCAGGAGAACAGTTCCCTATGATAATATCTGTTAAAAAGTACACAAAGAATTCATTTAGAGAAACTTTCTGATGAGAAATTCAGCTTTAACAGAACAGTAGCTTCAGCTTCCTCAGTCAGTGATGTTAGTGTCTGCTTTTAAAGACATCTGTTACTCTAAATTTTACAACCAAAATACCTGCTCTGCATGGCACACTTACCTGGAGTGCTACATACAGCTGGTTCCTGAATGCTGTATTTCTAAAATAATGATTAAGATACTCCCTTCTGCAGTATGTGTTTTCCCCAAGTTACTTGATTCTGTTTATGCCTTTACTCAAGAGGGAATAAACATATTTCTAGATAAAAATCCCAGCAGCCCTCATCGTTTTCTTCATTTTGTTACCAGGTCTTTAAAACAGTCATCTATAAATCCCAGTGGATACCAAAACAAAACATTGGTGAGAGTAAAAATTCATATGACATGACAATATGACAATAGTTAAGAAGAAACAAAATTAATGTTGTCCCTTTATGACAACTTGACACTTGGTTCCAATTCAGCAAAATGCTTCAACTCATATAATTACCTTCAATCAGACTTAAAACATTTTCAAACATTAATAAGTGTATTAGTACTTGGATGAGGACTTAAAATTTAAATCTAAATGATATAAACAAAACTCAGGAAAACAGATATTATTTTCATTGTGAAGTTTGATTTTTTTCTTTTCCTTTATTAAATGTTTATGTATTCTACACAGCTGCCCTTGAAAATCAAATATTTAACCAGTTTTCTTGTTCCCTCCCTGACTTCCTTTCAAATATTAGTTTTGAAAAGCCTTTGTTTCTTCATTTAAAAAACAACAAAAAAGCCCAAAACAAAAGTAGTGGATCTGGCTGAGTTACAGGAATCCTTTTGGGCTTCAATAGCAATAAGGTTTATGAATAGCATCTTGCTCTTCAAGACTATAGGCTCTGGAAAAATAAAAATCTAGGCATGCCTGCCCTGATTTCAATAAATCTCACTCGGTTAAATGCCCACCTTCCTTTGGTGGTGGCCCCTACCCCTCAAAGAGATCTAAAGTATCTGTGAGCGTGGGAGGCCACAAGAGGATATTCTCAAATTTTACAGCTGTGTGAACTTACAGTGCCCATGTTTGTAAAACACATCAAACCACACACTCAGTTGGGGCAGGTTTCTGTTGTTTTACTGAAGAATCACAAGCACCTACTTAGATATCCTTAAGAAGCAGTTATTGAAAAACAAAATTCCACAATCCCAGCAATATGCAAGCTAAACAGCAGCCCACCAGTTTACAAGCCAGAACACACTTCTCACAAACAACACCTGTCAAACCACTCTGTTGCACAGGTTTATACCAGGATATATCAAGATCATTACTGCATTGCTATGTTTCCCATCTGTTTCATCGCTCCTCATGATAAACTGGCAAAACCTCAGATAGATGATTACCACCATCTACCTACATGTAGACCTTGAGAAAGGATATTTTTATGCTTTTCTTATGATCATACCCTGGGCATACGCTATTGGCGCATCACTGGAGAAAGGATATGCAGCTAGACATTGAACCTGGGAGGGACTCAGTATAGCAGTTATACGCTGAGATTCTCACTTAAGTCAACTGGGCTTATAATCCTTTATCAAGGTTTGTATCACTTGGAATAAGTCTGCGAATTCCAGACAGAATTTTTAAATTTTTTTAACAAAAGTTTAAATTGAAGGTGCTTCTTTTTGAAAACTTATGTATCTAGAATCTGAAAATCCCACTGATGTTCTAAGTTTAGAAGGCTTTGCATTATTAACATGAAGCAATTTGCTCTGAAGTGACAAAATTTTTGGAGAGATTTTTTATAAAAATCAGGCACAGACTCCAGTTAAGTTTAATAAAATTAGTACTTGTTAAACTGCTCATCTAATCACAGTAAATTCAACCACCACTTCAGCTTCCTGTAGAAACTGGGTCAGACAAAAAAATCAAGAAGTACATGAAGAGGAGCATGATTTGTCACAGGCGTAAAGGAATTCATCCATGAATTTCTTAGAAAATGTTTTGATATGTTTTTCAATGATTGTTACTTGTCAAATGAAGAATTCTGTCAGGGAACTAGGGCTGGAATTCAAGACTTTTCTTCTTAGAGACTATCCTCATCTTTAAGTTGGAGAATTATACCTTTTCTAAAACATAGTCCTTCTGGCCAGGTTTGTCTGATTTTGACTTGCTCCCAGTGCAATGCACTGCCTTCTAGAGGCTGCCTTAAAAATGTTTACACACTGGTAGGGCACTATTCCGAGAAAAGGAACATAAGGTTTTGTATCTCCTTTAGGAAGGAAAGACAACTGAGCATCAAATCCAGATTTCAAGCAAGTCACAATACAACATATGGCTAAAACTACACTTTATGGAAAATGAATGAACCTGCAATGGTTTTGAGACAACAAATGTTAGTATGTGTCTTCAGGAAGAACCCAGCAGTACCCGCTATGAATGCGTATGGGTGTCTCCAATTTCTAATTCAAACGAGCTGTATTATTTCACATTCTTCTGCCCTCCCAGTGTTTCCAAACTGGCTAGCATTAGACAACCAGTTACCGAGTCCTAGATAGCTGTGTTTTCTTGTGTTCCAGTTTCAGAAAACTCAGATGCTGATTCATTATACCTTACATTAAGTACGTTTACTGAAGTGCCTAAAAACCTGTTATTAACCTAGGCTTTCTCTGTAATCAGTGGAGACAGAGCACCTTCTGAATGATTATATTTCTTGTCACTCACTAGACTGCAAATCTAGAGTCTAAATTTGGTCCCTGCACCAAGAGTTGGATTTGAGTGGATGATGGAAACACTTCACCAAAGCAGGCACTTTGGGGTCATATTTAAGAAGTTTCTCTCATAACTTCTGTAATTAATTTTTTCTTTCTTTCTTTGCTTAAAGATATGTTTCAATTGCTATTTCTAGAAGAGTAGGAAAAATTATTTTAAAGTTAACATATTTTCAGGAAACAATAGCAATTTTTAGCATTATCATTCTATTATATTGTTACTGATTGACCCTGAAATACGATAAGTTTGACATTAGAGACACTAATATTGTAATTCAGATTGCAGCTTTTTCTCCACAAAGAAAGGACTGAATACAAGAATTTGGAGTGTGATCCTGCAAAATTATCTTCATCATTTTCTCTAAGATGTGCAAAATTGGAGGCTGGACTTGTCATTTGACTCTCCACATTTATCTAACCACAGAAGAAAAAAGCGTAGATTAAGAACTTGAAAGGAAATTAATAAATTGCAGTTCAGTTTAAAACATGGATTTCCAGGAGGAAAAAAAAAAAAGAAGAAAGAAAATAGAAATACATTTTAATTTATGTTAGTAAATCAGAACTAAAGCAACTTTTTTGGCATAATAACTACCTGAGCCATGCACAATCATATTTTACAGATTCCGTTTTTTAGGTCAATTTGCATTTCTTTTCAGATGCTCTCCTACTTGAACCATAGCACTTTCAACACCAGCTGTCTGTAAAACCTCATATGGTCCAATGCCACCTGTAGCTCAGAATGTGAAGGACTGGAGGACCCTAAAGAACAACCCACAGGTTACAGTTAATTGCAGAGTTAACTGGCACTATCATCACATTCACACAGATACATGGCACTGTAATGGCTGAGTACAGTGTTGCAGCCTTCCACTTCCCAAGTCTTCAGCTTTCTGGAGTGATGAAAGGTGAGACATAAAGCCTTAGTGGGAACCATGAAGGCATAAGTTACCCTTCACTGTAGATACATGCACCAATTTCACTGTAGATACATGCACCACTTTCATATACAGCAAAAAAACGTGCTACTTCATTTGTGCTCCTAGTCAAGGACTACCAAGAATTTTGTGGTGAAATACGTCATGATACCATTTGGGAATAACAGCTTTTAGAAAACCAGCCATGTAGCATAACTTTTAGCATTATTCGTTTGCTTCCATAACTTTCTCTTTACAGCTCCAGTGGTACAGTTACATGCTGCTTGATTCTTTTATTTACTTTCAAACATGTATCACCCTATGAAGTGGATACTGGCAGCCGAAGCATCCATTTTCTAGACATTACTCTACCAAAATCAACAAAATACTCAGTGGGTTATATCACTAAAGTAAACATCATGTATTAAATCTACACACTGCAATTTGCAGTGTGAAAAGAATGTGTCTTTTACACATTTGTTAGTGCCAGCATCCTCATTCCACTTAAACATAATATGCATGGATGTATATATAAAATAAATTAGTATTTATATACTGGAGTATTTGTATAAACAGAGAAGCCTGTGTGACCACAGCAGGTTCCCCAGTCACAAGTCAGCCACAACTTTGCAATGTGGTTATTGGCTGCAATTAAACAGAAAAAAATATTTCTGTTGGATTTTGATTTCATTGAAAGCTTTAAAAATATCTCAGAGCCTTCATAATAAGGGGGAGGAGGGTGTGTTATAGAATTTGAGAAGTTTACATGCTTTTGTAATCAACAGAATGCCATTAGCATTATTATTTTATGTTTTTTTTTTAGAAATAAAAAATAATTCATTTAAATGAAGGAAATGTGTTATTCCAAATGTGTATTTAGATGAACATTGAAATATTCCAATTTGACTTTAATATTTCAAAGAACTCAGATTGATTTATTCCTTTTGAAGAATAACATGGATGCTTTTTCTCATCCTGATGAATTCAGTGTTTCAAAAGAACTGCTAGGAACGATGTCAGCACGTTTCATGAGTTAACAGATGCCCTGCTGTCATACATCAGACACTTTCAACATTCAAATGAATTATGCTAATACAACTCTATGAAAATGGTAATGTTAGGTGTCTTACTATGAATTTATTTTAACTCAGAATTACTAAAAAAACTTAGCAATATTCCATATATAGTACTTGGTTATGTCCTACTGAATGGATATACTATTTGTGTTCTCAGATTTTGAGATCTTATCCCTTACTACTTTTCCTTTAACTGAAACTGCTCACATATTCATAGCATTATGAGCACAATAAATGCTACAGTATCTATCAAAAGCTAAAAAAGACACTGCAAAATGTGTTTAAGGTACATTTCACTTTGATTTATGTGATACATGCAGTTCTGGATCTATGAGACTTTCGCTTTGAATGTTCTGCAGTCTTACACTCCTAGCACTCTCTCTGGGACTGATCCAAATCCCATTTCTTCAAGGAGCTTTGGATCACATATAGATGTGCAGAGCTCAGAAGTAATTTTATTCTCTGGATGCAGTGCAGAGCACTATATATAAAATAAACACTGCATGCTTTCTCCTGTGGAAAATATATATTTGTTCTTTATTGTTTTGCTCTTTTTATAAGTTAAATGTAGGTCATTCAGACAGACGGTATATGGTTGCTCTTTACAGATAGAGAAATTTAACACTTCTACAGGGCGTGAGACCAAACACTGAGCAACTGTAATCACTTGAGAAATGTAATAGCTGTGTGCTGTGTCTTATGGCTATTATGAAATGGAACTTATACCTAGAAATGAGGAAAACAGTTAGCTGCCTCCATTTATGGAGCTATGCCACAGTTATGACATAATTCATAGCCAGAAAGAAAGTTCCAGTTGTATCCATAGACATTTCATAACTCAGTGTAGTGGAAAACTGATATTGAAGAAAGATTTTTGCCAAGTAAAGTTATTCATACACAGGCTTCCTTCTCATGACAGCTTCCCACTGTACTGCAGAGCGATGCTGGAACTCTGCCTTGGGACCAGCACTTTCTACACCCACGCTGAAGGTTTATGTCCTGAGATGAGGTGCTTCTAGGCGCCTGTGCTCTCCTCCTTCTTTTCTTCTCCTTACTACCTGTAATGCGTGTAATACATGGTACTTTTGTGCAGAGAATTTTCTAGCTGGTCTCTGTGATAAGTTCATAAATGGTGGATCTTCAGGATATTTCCTCCAGGACTGCAAGAATTTAGTGATCATCTGGGCTTGGGTGCATTTTTCAACTTCCCTTATTACTTAAACAGCTGCAGTTATCAGAAGAGAAAATAATATGGACCATTCGTTCTTCCTTCCAGAACCAGAAAATGGCAATAAGAGAAAAGAATAAAATAGGAAAAAAGTCACGAGCAGACTCTTTACTTCCCGCTGCTAAAAGCAACAGCAACGAAGTAAAAAAAGACAAAACAAAACAAAAAAAAAAACAACTGAACAAAACCCCCACAGTTTGATCCCTATGCAAAAATTATTTGCTTCTGGTATGTATGAATCTAGAATCATGTCTGGAAATCTTGCAGAGGCATTTCTCAATATAAGAACATTGCCAATCATGCATACTGTATATCTTGTATACATTGGAGGTATTTATCCTTACCTTTGGCTTAATTTCCTGTTTTCAAAAACAGTCAGAATAGACTAAGCCTCAGACAGTTCAGTAATCGAATTCCCTGCAGTTGCAGCACAACCCTTTATAGGGGTGAACATGATGTGTAGAATAACTTTGTATTAATCAGAAGAGTATGCCTGAGGTAGCTTTTATATTATATTGGGAATGCTATGTAAAACACTCTTTAAACTTTTCTTGAAAATCGCATCATACTATTGGTCTGATGTGCTACTCGCACTACATCTAACAAAAAATTGGGGGGGGGGGACGGGACAGGGCTATAGCAGCTATATGCAGAGCTGCTATAAACCTGCTGCCTCCTATCCCAAGAAATTATTGCAGGCACAGACCCTCTCCTGTCCTTGTCACTCTGGAATACAGGAGGAATATCTCAGGTGGAAGACCAAAACGTCAATGTTCAGACAAGATTTCTGACAGCTTTGATATGGCTTTGCAATCTTCTGGAATCCTTCGTGGATGACCACGGCCAGTTATGTGAAGAAGACTTATTTCTAGAAATCTGCCTCTTGGCTGGATCCAGTCATGTTGGTCATGGGCAAAGCCACTGGAGTGCAGTGTGAGGGGCTGCTCCCCAGGGAAGGGGCATGGGGCTAGTGGCAGCCAGGGGACAAGGGCCATGGCAGGAAGGGTGCTGTCCTGTACTGTCCATCGAGGTGGGCAGTGGACAGTAACCACCGTTAGCTCAGGGTCGGAGATCATCAGGTGAGTGTGCTGGGACAAAGCAGCTTTGAAGGCAAGCAGAGACTGAAGAACCCAGGGAGCCCCTGGCACCCTGACAGAAGGCCTGTGGCAACATGGCTGACACAAATACAAGGCTTTAACCAAAGCGGTCTTAGAAAGGGCTTAAGAAGGCCAAAGGGCATTTTATCCATATGATAGAATTTTGTGTTGTTTTGGTAGGTTTGATTTGTGGGAATATTAAATGTATTTAAAATTATGTTTCATAACTAGAAGATCTTAGCTTTCTTAAAGAACGAAGAGTAGTGAAGGGTGGAAGAATGAAAAGGAGGTTGGAAGGCTGAAGCCATGGTAGCAGTTAATGTCCTGCTTCTTGAAGGCAGAAGTGGCCTCATAGTTCACCTTCACAGACTGTCAGGTATCAATGGAGGAACTATATCTTATTACAAGGGAGATCTTATCAGCCCAAATGCAAGGTGGTAAATATGTACCTCCCCCTGCTCTATTTCTATCAATGCTGTTCTATGTTCAAAACTGGAAAAAGGATTTGCCCTGAGTCTGTGCTCCTCCAATTTTGAACTCCAGTTTTGAACCAAGCTCTCCATCTTCAACCATGACAAAACCTTTGCAATCTTCCTTCTGAAGCCTGGGCAATTAACAATATGAACAACCTTGACATCTTAAAATCTACATAGTTTCATGTCCGAGGTACATTTTTCCTCTCATGAGGTCCTAAAAATTGAAGTTCACACATATATCTTCTATGGAACATACATTATTTTTTTTTGTTTAATTGCTTAACTTAAGCATATTCATCTATAATTAATTGAAATGGTTACTAAATAATGTTTAATAAATAACATAAAACATTATATATTTATTATGGTGTATTTATCCATTTACGTTGATTCTTTTTACAGAATCTAGTTGTTATTATAATAGTTTAAATAAGATATGAGTCAGGCTGTAGAGCATCTACTCAATGCTTCATTACTTAAACATATTGTGCGTGATATAACTGTCAGCATGAGATGCTCTCTTATAACAACAGAGATTACTTACAGTCGCAGCCGCAAGAAGTTCAGTATATAAGTCCATTGATACAGCAAAATGTACAACTGCATAGCAATCAAGATAAACTGGTACACTTGGATTGAAGGGAACTTTTCCAGTGATCTGTATGAAGCAAAACAGATAATAGCTTTTGACAATGACCTGCTCCAGCCTCTTATTTCTTAGTATTCTTCATACTTACAAACACAAAAAAGGTTAAGGGACATAGATAATTGCACAAAGGTAATCCACTATCAGATTTATGTACTACTTAGTGTGAGACAGAGTTTAATGCTCTGTGTGTGTGTGTTAACAGCTAAAAGAAAAAGTACCGTACACTATAGAACAGTTTTGAAATCTCTTCAGGAAATGAATAATGAAAAGATAAATAAAAAATTATTTTTTTCCCTTCAAATAAAAACACACAGGTAAACCATTCATTTCCTTCAGTTTCTGTTCCCATTTCATCTTCCCCCATGCTTTATGACGGCTAACTTGCTAATTTCAAATAGCATGTGTAGAGCTTTTAATATTAATCCAGTAGCATTAAGAGGTCCAAGCAAATTACACAAAGCCGAAAGCCTGTGCATGTTCTATTTATCACTGGGATTTCCTCAGGAAGGCCAGGTCTAGGTTTGCCTGGTCCCCAGCCTGGCCCTTTGAATAGGACAGAAAGCTTACTGCAGAATCCAGGTGTGGCCCAAAATGTGTTCCAAATATGAGCCAAGGGATGTAACTGAAAAAAAGAGCATGTAATGTTTCATTATTGGTAAAATAAAATTTAATAAAACATTATGCTTTATTATTTACTTGAAAGTTAAAAATTAATTTTTGAGTCTGTAGAGAGAATAAATTAGGAGTCAGAATAAATTAGGACAGTCAGAAGTTCAGAAACCCTGACAAAAATAGGTAGGAGCCATATCAAGTCCTTGGTTTATAGTGAGGATTACAATGGCTCCAGCTCAGAGGAAAATCTGTCTCTCCTGTAATTAATCCAGAGTATTGAACAGTTTATTGTACAGCTATATTTATTGTAGTTTTAACTTAGAATTTGGTTATGGGGACCTTGACATGACATATTCTCAATAACAAAATTACTTAATATCTGACTGTAATGGATATAACTGCACAGACTCTGGCCATCCTTCCAGCTTCCAGCCCAGACACACCTTCAGGTAGAATTTCTCATTCTTTGAGATACCTTCTGGGGTGAACAGTCATGAAAAGTAAGTGGTTACTTCAATACTACTCAGTCCCTGAGGTTTTTACAGAAAATTTTAATCCACCTTAAGTGAAGCCTGGACCAATAAATCTGAGGAGCACCACACTAAGGGTTTTCTTGGGCTTTTTTGTTTGTTTGTTGGTTTATTTTTTTAATTAAAAACCTATATTCAACGTATTCTGCAGGTTTTGCTGATATCATGATGGTTGCTATACAATGCTGTCAACAAAAACATTCTGGGGTACTCTGAGCAGCAAGTAAGCAGAAGAGATAAAAATAGTAAAGGTATTGCAACATGCAGTTATTTATGAAATAGCAATATTTAGAGAAGACAAACAACAGGTTAAACATATATTTTTGTCTTTGCTTCGCTGCATATTGCTCTGCATATGGCAAAATGGAAATCATTCAGTCCAAGGCCTGTTATAGTACTATTGTAATTATTAATTTTACTGTATTGTTTTTTCATGTTGACTACACATTCTGCATATGCTCAATGAATCACTGGAAATATTTGTTTTGTAATTAAATACTGAAGAAATTGTAGATTATTTAATTGTGCATCAATGCAAGGATGGCCTCAACTGTGCCTAAGAGAGGAGTTTCTTTCAAATGTGAGTGCCCGTTAAAGATACCACAGTCAGTGATACAAATTATAGCACCTGGATCATGATGGGTTCAAATGAATTCACTGGATGTGTTAAACCATATATGACTTTCGCATCTTCTGCCTCAAATGTTCCTGATGAAATAAGAAAAAAGAAACAACCAACAAGCAAATTCAAAAGTATACATATTTCTGCCACACTAACTAAACATGAGAGAGAACACCTTTTTTTTACTTACCAAACACCCTGCCCCAGATAATGAGTGTGCCACCATAATTTTTGTCAATGCAGTAAGGATTTCTACCTGTTATAAAAATCATCTATGAGACCAGTAATTTCATATATAAGAATACATGCTATTGAATTATGAAGGGAAATCTTCGTCATTAGCATCAATTTATAAACGAAAAAAAAAATAAATTAAAAGGTAGCTAACCCACCATTCCTAATATGCTGTAATTGTTTCTTTCTTGTTATCTTTCTACTTAGATTCAAACATAGTAATTAAATGTGTCACACCCAAAATTCCTGTGAAATGGAAGGATTAATTTGGAGAGTAAACTCAATTCAAAATATATTTATAAAGACAAATTAAATAGCAGACCAAAAACAAAAAAAAAATCATCATTTTTTACCTAAGAAAATGCATGCCAAATACATTTATGCACAACCATCTCATTAATGGCTTTCAGCTGTCTCTATCTTCTATTCCATATAGAACCATAGAATCAGATAGGCTGGAAAACACTTTTAAAACCATCAAGCCCAACCTTTACCCCACCACTGCCAAGACCACACCATTAAACCATGTCACTCTCTGATCCTGCCTTCATTATGATTAATTAACATCAGTGTGAGGGAAACTGATCCTCCTATCTGTTTACTGGGGAAATAGATTTGTATATAGTATAGGTCTTCTATCAAAAGTATGAGCAAAGAAACATTGATTAAATATCCCCAAGTTTGTGGAGACTGTCTGGAGAAACTGTACAGCACTTGATCAGCTCCAGGGCAATTCTGCTTAACTCTGATCAGGGTCAAGGGATTAGTTTGGATTTACAGCACAGCAAACAAGAGCAAAGTGTGTCCCTCCAGGATTACCAGTACTTGTGCAAATTTTAAGGATTAGACACTTACAACATTGCAGTCTTTTTAAAAGGTCTACACAGTGCCATAAACACTTTACACTTGGAGGATATAATAAATATTAATAACATCCTCTGTACCAATAATTGCGTTTGAGTCTGTTTCCAATTATTTTATTCTTCCATTCCCCTATTACTTTTTTACTTGTTATCTCTGCACACTGAATGACCTAAGGATATCTATGAAATCCACTTCTATTCCTCTTAAATGATCATGACATTTTTCAGTATGCAATGGAGTTATTAATCAAATTGAAACATGCAGTACGGTCTGGAATGCCTCTGAATATTGATGAAAAATCAATCATTTTGCATTTGTGTGAAGTGAGATTTTTCAATAATTCAGAAAGCTGAAACCAAATTCCATTAAAACATTCAACAGTTCTTCTTCTAAAAGGTAACCGTGCCTTTTCACACATTCATTGTTTGAAGTTGAATGAAAAAACATGTTAGTGATTGACAAGTTGATGATGTCTTAGTAGTCACAGAAGGATGAGATATTTTTCTGTCACTCTTCATATCTAGAAACATTGAACTGTTTTGCTGAAAGTCTTAAAATATCCTGGCTTAATTTCTCCTCAGTAATTAATCCTAAATGTAAAAACTTTAAATATCAGTTAAAAAAAAAGTTTTAAAATACTGCAAAATTTATAACTTAACAAGGACTATTTTTGAAGCAATGATCAAAATTTAAATCCTTCTGTAAAGCTACTTTCACAATACAATTCCAGTCCCTATTATTATTAAATAAGTAGTGACCACTAAAATAAACCCACTAAGGAATAAAAGTTTACCCTTTTAGCTTACCATGATGAAGCCTGTGATGACTGGGAGTATTAAGAATCCACTCCAGAGGCCCAAGGTTGGTAACAACCTTGAAAAAAAATAATGGTTCCATGAATTTGAAAATACTGTATAATATGAAGATGGAGGGGAAAGAGGGAAAGGAAATGCATAAAGAGGACATTACTCTTAAGAAGAATTGCATAAAAGAACAAGACTTCAATTTTTTTGCTTGAACCATTTCACTGTTATAAGAATTTCACTAACATTTTTTATCCATATCCATTGGCATTGCTTGGGATCCAGAGTAACTTTAAGATCCCAATTATGTGAACAGTTTACATCTGCAAATAGCAGGCACTGACCCAGAAACAAGTACTCCTTCCTCCTTCAGTAGCTTTGACTGTTTGTTTCTTGTATCAGTGACCTGCTTTTACCACAGCACAAATGCAGAAACAGAAGAAAAAAATGCCCTAATTTGGGAACTGATGCAAGTTAAAACTAATTTTGTTTTGTTTTTCTAAATTAGTTTCACTGGATCAGGTCCTGAATCTGATCCAACATGCAGTCACAAATAAACTGGCATGATTCAGGCATGAAAAGAAAGAAGAACAGCATAAACTCATAGTAGAGCATTGATCTAAGGCAATGATTCTGCAGTACAGAAAATCCAAGCCTTGATCATCTTTGTACCAGACCAAAATATAACAGAAAGTGTTGAATGCCATAAAAACATTCTAATGAGTCAAACTTTGTCAGAAAATGCTGATGAATTAAGTTTGTGTCACCAGGGTTTATGGCAAACTAGGTACTCACCCGTTTTATGGAGCCATAGGAAAGCCAGCACTAGCTCTAAATATTGTGCTTTGGTTAGCTCAACAGAAGTGTGTGGATACCAAAACACAGCAACCATTGCTTAATCCCAAACACAAAATCATCAGTCAGAAATAGATGCAGTCACTGGATGACCAAAAAGTGTTTCTATTCAAGATATAGCCTAAAATTGTATTTATTCACTGTATCTGATTATGACCATAATGTCTTGCAATTGAGACAACAAACAAAAAAGGCAGCTAAATAAAAATGCTTAGACCTTAAGAAACAAAACTAAGAACCAATCACTTTGTCTTTTACAGAATTTAATAAGTAAATTTAACACTCATATTGTTGAAGTGGGTGACCTGTAATATAATAATAGAGATAATACTGGCAAACAACTCACTAAGGAGGCAAACCATTATTACTTATGACAGCAGTCCCATCATCTAAATAAATAAAAGTACAAGGATTTTTATTAACTTCAGGTTTACGGAGAAAAGTCTAAAATACTCCAGTTCCATTTATGTTTAATTCACACGTGTGAAGATCTGGACTCAAAAAGTAGATATAGGGCATTCTTCAGAAGTACTTAAATTTTTATGAATCAGGCAAATATCAGAATAAAAGGAAAAAATACATATTCCTCATTTTTGTCTTTAGCAAAAGCTAAAAGAATTTCTACTTAATAGGTTAAGTAAAGCATATCTATAATTAAAGGAGTATATAAATGAGTAAATTCCTTAGAGATAATTTGGAATATATGTCTCAAAATCCTGCTTGGAAAAACAGACTAGAGGGACAAGTTTGTTTTGTTTAACACAGAAGTTAAGAACAACCTATAGGGCACTATGTATTTCTCAGTTCTCCTTCAAATAAATTCAAGCCTGAAAAGACCACCTAAAGGTGAGAAACAATTCATCATTCATGCTAGCTCCATTTCCCACCTTTCTTAAGCAGAAAATCCCCCTGTTCCAAGCTATGTGAGATGTGACCACTAAATGAATCTAATGAGTTGGACGTCAGATTGAACTGCAGCCCAGCACCTGAGAGAGCAGTGATTTATCTATTAAACCACACCTAACTTTGGTCTGCTTGGGTTTATTATATTGTTAGCTCAGTATTTTAATAATTTTTGTGAAAATAAACCAAGTCTGTTCTAGGAGAGCAGGTAATCACTAAGGAATAGCAGTCTTCACTTTTAGTCTACAGATACAGTAAAATAGTCTTCAATATACAATATATATTCAATATATTTGTATATATTTGTATAATATATTTGTATAATATATTTGTATAATTCAAGTCTTCAATATACAATATATAAATTCATATTTAAAAATTAAAATTCATCTTTTCAAAGTCTATATAATACATCGGTATGCTAAAGAAACTTATGCAAAATTTTAAATAAATAATTCTTTCTAATCCTAGAGAAAGTATTTTCTTTGGAAAATGAAACCTCTCTCATCCTTTAAAAATAGACTTTCTTTGGGTGATGACATTTACAAATCTATTGAAATATCTTCTCCGTAGCGTAATTAGTAATTGATGCCTAAGACTACTTTGGTTCATTATTCTGTCAAGGTTGCCTCCATTGCAAAGACGTACACAATGATGGGAATATCATCTGAGATAACAATCATAACTGCATTACAACCACAGAACTCTGTACCTGACCAAGCAAAAATCCAGCATGCTAAAACTAGCAATTTATAAAATCATCATTTTGGCTAAAACACATAAAAAATATTTTTGTCACCAGATAGTCAAAATGGTACAGGGTGCTATTTCTAGAAGCTTCCTTTGCTATCAATAAATTTACTTCTATATATTTAGCACACTCCTAAAACACAAAATCATGTTGTCAGTGGAAAACTTTTTGTGTCAAAAATCTGATCAGTATTTTATAAACATATCTTTTATACATCTGTCCATATATCATTCTAATGAACAGAAACACACCGTATCTGGAAAACAAAAATAAGAACTGAAAAACCTCGTAAAGCTGACTGCCAGCAGCACCACATGGCAAAGAACATAATTATTTTGTTGAATTTTTCTGTATTCTACCACCTTACCTGGGTCAAAACAGGAGTTTTGCAAGATCTTTCACCAAAGTAAATTATCAAGGCCAGGACAGTAAGAAATTTTTTGTCAGGTAAGATTCTGACCCTGTCATGTCAGGCTGACAGGAACTTACTGCAATCACAGTGAAAGGAATGAAATTTGCAGGAATCAACTTGTAACAAAATTTAATGTGGTTTAATAACAGCCTGTTCAAAAGAATGCCTAACAGGCAATGAATAAGGCTAGTGGCAGGTAGCCCACCTACCCATCCACCTTTCAGCAGTCAGCCTACCCTTGCTTCTGTCTCCCCATTTTGTCCAGACATTTTCCTTGGATAATGGCAATTGCAAAGTTGCTCATAAGTGTTCATGGTAGCAGTAACCAGAGTTGCAACCAGTCACCAAAGCATGTACACCACTAGGGCTCAGTCATTCAAGACAGCAAAACATTTTTATCTTCAAATAGCTTAGTATTCAAAACAGCTTTTTAGACAGAGATCTTTCACAATGTCCAAAGCTTTGGAAAAAAAAAAAAAACAAAAACCAAACAACCAACAAACCGAACAAAATCAAAACAGTTTTAAATAAAAATTCTAAAAATTAACAGAATATTTGTGATAAGAACAGCAGAACAGCTCAGGTTTTGTGGCTTGTAATCAGTATTTTCATTAAAAAAAAAGGAAAATATTTCTGCTACTGTAAGTTTTGTATGCAGTAGAAAGCTTTGCTTCAGACCTTTTTACTGGAAAGTGGTCTCAAAAATAAAATAATAGTGGAAATGTCATTATTCAATATCCCTATTGATTGTACTTCAAACCCTACTTCATATTACTGAAAGGAAAAAGAGTCTGCTTGTTAATATAAAATATTCTTGTTTTTTATAGCATCATCTTGCAGTGATCTTGGGAACACCAAAAAAATTGCTACCAATATCTTAAACACTGAAGTACCAAAACTGTTGTCTAACCTTATCTGTGTTTTGACCAGTATGGCTGAGGGGTTTACATTTGTGTTTGTTCCCCTGATACAGACACCTACTGTTTAAATCAATTCCTGTCTCCAACTTTTCTTTTACAATTAACACATCGTGTGCACCTCAATTCCCATGCCAGTGACCCACAGATGAACTGCAGCAGAACTCTTTTCCTGTTTGCTTTGTTTGTTTTTCCACATCCCATAGCCACAAAATAGAATTTTTCACTTGCCAAAACACTTACAAATGGACTCAGTAAACTACCTAAAAATCAGATATGTAGGTATCTTATGTACACGAGTTATAAAAGCTTTGTCAGATCTCTCCACAAAACATGTATTTGACTTTCTTTACTTTTAAAACAAAACAAAATAATAAAATCAAGCAATATATTCCCTCCATTTTTGTTTGGCATCACTAAATAATAAACCAGAATTACTGACAATATCTGAAGAAATTCCAAAAGCATTTTAATAAATAAGGCAGGCTAAAAGCTGCATGCTTAGAAACAGTTTCCATACATTACTGAATAAAATATGCTGGAAGTGAAATCCTCATATATAATGAGAACTAAATGTTTTCTTTTCTATAATGGTAGTTCTTATATAAAGATGTTTCCTTTGTGACAGGAATCCCTAGCCTAATGGAAAAGAACATTGTGCAATATCTCTTACAGCATGTAAGCACCTCTGTTTGCGGTCTCAAGAGTTTGTCAGCACCAAGGGAAATCTTTATTGCCTGGTACCTGCACCACTTCAATGTAGTTCTTGTTTAAATAATGAGAAAAAATCGTGACATGAAATCCAAGGGAAACTTTACATCTTGTGTAACAACTCCTCCTGTCACCACTACAACATGAATCTTTACTTAACTCTGTTTCAACATGAATGCTAGGAAGGAATGTCAACTGAGTAGAGCAGGCAATGTTACAGTAAAACTGTGTGTATATGAAAAGTTCTGTTTTGTTTTGATTTTTTTTTTTTCTCTTTGAGTACAAGAAAAGCTGTAGTACAGCATTTCTTTTAATATTATTGTGTCACTGATCTGCAGGACAGGGAGGGTAAATTCATCCCTGCAGCATCACCAAAGGAGCACTCTGAACTTTGGAATTTCTGTTAGACTAGTAGGTAGTAAAACACATATTACTACTGATTTCCTCATCAAAATGAAGATTTCTATACCCAGTATATAAATCGATATCTCAGTCTGGTGGGGAAATTTTAAAAAAAGGCC